TCAAGATAATAACCAAAAAGGAGAAAATTCATAAAAAATTATTATTTACGGGCAATAATGCCAAATGAAGTTGTCTGATCCATCTGAAAATTTTCTACCAAATACTACATATTGACCTGCTGATCAATTTAACCCACTGCTCTAACAGCTTTAGTTTTTGAGATATAAGCCAGAAATTGCATTTTACCCCTACAATAAAATTGAGAATGGAAATGGGGAATGTGTCAAAGAGACAACAACCCGACCAAAGAGCAGAAAACAGCCGAATGCTACCAATGGGTCTTCAATACAGTGAGAAAATCCTGCACCCGGAGGTGTGCTTTAGCTGGCCCCTAAACAAAAACATGTACTAGTTCAGTAATAATGGACGTCATACTTAACTCCGAAATATATAAAAGAAACTAAAATTAAAAGTATGTTCTATTTTTAGCCATGGTGGCCATGTTTGTTGACTGACTGGAATAAAAAACAAATACAACATACTATACGAATTGTTCACCTCAAGTTTTGTTGAAATTGGTTCAGTAGTTTCAGAGATCTTTGAAAACGTTTATTACGATGGAAGACCACAAGTGACAGGTGAGACAGGTGAGCTAATAAAAGGCCAAACTGAGTTATTGGCATCACTATCACATTATTTGGCAACAGCTATATAACCTACAGAATTAGACTATTTACCGGATTTGTAATAACATAAGCAACCCGACGGTTGCCACATGTGGAGCAGGATCTGCTTACCCTTCTGGAGCACCTGAGATCACCCCCAGTTTTTGGTGGGGTTCGTGTTGCTTAGTCTTTAGTTTTCTATGTTGTGTCATCTGTACTATTATTTGTCTGTTTGTCTTTTTATTTTTGGCCATGGTGTTGTCAGTTTGTTTTCGATCTATGAGTTTGACTGTCCCTCTGGTGTCTTTTGTCCCTCTTCTATATAAGGTGTAACACAGTAGTTAGACCAAGATAAGAGGCACTTAGTGTGAAAAATGTTTAGTCTGACAACACAGAACCTGTAACAAGTTTTGAAACCCCCTCCCAAAAAAACCCATTATTATCCTATCATTTCTCTATATTTTAAGCACCCCATTTATATTATCAGTGGGTTTTTTACTAGTGTAAAATGACTAGTACGTAAAAAAATATGGAAATTAAAGGAAGAACTTGTCTGAGGAAACCACTCAAGCTTGCTTATAATATGTGACAATCCTTTTTGAGAGCATTTGATGTCACTGCTAGTTTTTTATAGTGTTTTATTGTTCTAGTCTTAGGTATTTTTGTGCTACAGGTGTGTTATTTATTGAAAAAAGTTGCGATTGTCTGTTTTTTTATGTTTGTGATGTATTTCCAAAACATTGGAAATTATGAATATGTTTAGTGCTGAATACAGTACAATATAAATATTCTACAAAATTTTCAACAGTACAAGCTATAACATACTCTATTCAAATACTAAATTATACCATTATACAACAATATAATGCAACAAAATAAAAAACAGGTACAAATGGACTGAATTTTCCAGAATGCAGTGTGACCAGTTAGCCTGGCATCCTGGCCAAACCTCCTTTATGTGTCAGTATGGTAAGGCGTAATACCATCCATGTGACCACTTTTCAGCATTAATTACTCCACATGAGTCTGTTACATTCATGAACAATGAATGATCAACATGAACATGATCAATTGGATGTTGTATTCCACCTGGCTCTAGTGGAGCAGTGAGCCAGGAATCCAGGTCCATTTGCCCAAAATCATGTTCGCTACCATTCACATTGTCACCGTACATGATAGTTCCCTTTTTAAAGGTTTTGTGTTGAATAATTTTTTAATTGTGTTCTAGTTAGTGTATTCCTATAAAATAAAGATAATATTTTTTTTATATTGCTTTAAAATAAACAGGTTGGAGAAGATCTTCATCTGGGTCAAATGGGTACTATCCGCATTTATGGGTATTATACCATAAATTGGGTATCAATCTACAGTTATAATAAACTGTTATCACAGAGATATGGTCTCGCCTATTTGTTATTTTGATAATGCAAATGTTGATGAAATTAAAATAGCAATACTTTAACATGTAAGTTATGCAAATATTCAAAGTCAATGAACCATGACTGAAGGTACAGGGCTAAACAATCTCCATGGAAATGAGATGTGACAATGCTAATACAACTGCAAACCAAATACCATTGACTTTTCATAAGTCGTTCCCTTTAAACAAACCTAAACACAAACATTAACTTGTAAACTATGTAAAAGTTTCAAAGTCAATGAACCATAATTAGGGGGTGGGGTTATATAATCTCCATGGAAATGAAACTTGCAAATGCCAATACATTTGTATACCCAATATCATTGACTTTACATTAGTGGTTCATCTTAAACTGAACTAACCAATAACTAATACATGTAAACTATGTAAAAGTTTCAAAGTCAATAGACCATGACTGAGGGGTAGGGACCAAATATTCTCCATGGAAATGAGATGTGCTAATGCTTATACAACTGCATACCAATTATCATTGACCTACCACTAACGGTTGCCCTTAAACTGACCTAATCACAAACTAATACATGAAAACTAAGCAAAAATTTCAAAGTCAATAGACCATGAATGAGAGGGCTGGGCCAAATAATCTCCATGGAAATGAGATATACCAATGCTTATACAACTGCATACCAAATATCATTGACCTTCCACTAGTGGTTCCCCATAAACTGACCTAATCACAAACTAATACATGTAAACTAAGCAAAGTTTCAAAGTCAATAGACCTTGACTGAGGGGGCGGGGCCAAATAATCTCCATGGTAATTAGATGTGCCAATGCTAATACAACTGCATACCAAATATCATTGACCTATCACTAGTGGTTCACCATGAACTAGACCTAATCACAAACTAATACATTGTTGACGCCGCCGACACCGGAAACAGCATACCAGTACCTATGTCTAGCTTTTTGACTACGTCAAGGCGAGACAAAAACATGATAGCTGTCATGCGAAAATATTCATATAAATGGCAATATTTTCCCCTTTAAGACCATAGTTCAAATGAGAACTGAATACAAAGATAATGGCCTCTACTTTTTGAAAGCGGTTAACTTTTATCCTGATGATATTTCAGTCATGGCGTCTTTAGGCAATCGAATGTTTGCCCAATGACAGAAAATATCTGTAAATCCAAAGTTTATATTTTTATCACTGAAAACTGATACCCGTTTTGGGGGAATATTCTTTATGAGGATCCTCCCCAACCTGATAACGGAGGGGAGGAATGCCCTTTACCGTCAGGTGTCAAACGGTCATTTTCAGCTAACGTTAGCGTCAAATTGGTTATAATTTTACCGTGATTCGTCAAAATATCCTTATCGTGATTCGTCAGAGGTCTTGAATAATTATCGTTACCATTGTTTATTATATATTCGTCAAAATCAGTTGATTTTTTTATCATCTAAAAGCAAGTATACAGTTTATCGTCATGTACCAAAAATTACCTTTAATGTCATTTTGCATGAATTTTTAGCATTATTCGTCATGAAGGTACCCCCATTACGACCCTCATAAAGTGACATTCTAAAAATGTAAACAGGTTTCCTTTGGTGTTTTGGCCAAGTTCATAACAGTATATTTCCGCCCCAAAAACATCTATGATATGCTATTAACACAATGTAGGACGCATACCAGTTGACTGGCATATATTTCCGCCCCAAAAACATCTATGATACGCGCCCCTGAGAGTTCATGCATTCATCTAAGACTTGTAAAAAAAGATGGAGGAAATACCCTACGGCTATCAAACTCTTCACAATGACAATGCCACCACATTAAAAAAATAACAAATTTTTAATCAAGAAAGTATTAATATTTTGACCATTTGACGATACACATATCTAAAAAGCATCTAATAATTTAACCTGTATCTGTATGAAAATAGGGTGCGAACGAACCTAGGGGCAAACATGTGAGGTGTGAACGTGTAGTGTGAAAACGGACCCAATACCGTGAGCCAGGATCCTAGTCTATGTTACAGCTGGGACATATCTAATATATAGAACTTATCGCTATTTGGAAATCTGTGCCGCTTGTCCCGGGCAACTATTGACGTCATACAACAATCACTTTTCCAAAAAATTTGTGGCATCAGCAGTGTTTTCCCTAGGCTATTCAAGCATTGCGGTACCGCTACGCATAAATTTCGACCGCCATGCTTTCATCATTGCCGCAATGCATCCCGCTATGTGTGAAAATTATAACTGTGTAAAATATTTATTATCGATATTTTGAAAGTGAAGTAACAAGTGACAACACTTGTGTATATATGTCTCTGGGAAAGTTGAAACAGAGGAAGATATCAACAAAATAATGTGTATATGACATTAATTTGTAAATAACTATTGCAGACTGGATTATTGTTATTATTGTTTATATGGTCTTTCATTAATTACTCTCATCTGTGATAAATACTTTAAAATTCCATGACTTATATGAATTGCTGTACCTATAATAAAACAATTAGATTGGTATATGGCTTTAAACATATAAATTATTTAATGTAACTAATTCTGAAAAAGCGTCGCGTGCCGCGTTGCAAATTCACCATGGACCCACCATGCATGAAAAATTTTCTAGGGAAGACACTGATCAGATATTTTCTATTAGTATTGTGAGTCTGACGTCAAAATTTTACGGGAACCTTTGTGATGTACAGTAATGGCGGACAAATTAATAGAGATAAGGTGTATTGTTAGTAGCTATATAGAATAGTCCAGGGTTACAGCAGCCTGAGACTTGGTGTATATATGTCTCTACAGCGACCATAGACCGAATTCTTCTGTATTTATTTATTTTTTTACCATATTTACAGTATACATTATTACATTTCCATCTAAAATACTATTTATTGTGGTATTGACGTCTCCTGTGATCGAAAGGTTATGCCTTATATAGTCTTCATCTGCATCAGGACACAACAAGGAAACTTGAGCTACGTCCTCGTCGGAAATGTTTATGGACATTTTAAAATTAACTTTCCCGCCAAAAAAGCTGTCGATAAGAGTCAGAGAAAAGCCAGAGAATTCCGAAAATGCCAAGATGTCAGCTTCCATGAAAACAATCTCTGCTTGTGTTTGCCGGAATGTTAAGAGTAATTTAAGCTTTATAATTTACCTTGCGTTATTATTTTTACAGATCAAAGTATCGTATATCTAGTTTTATTTGAAAATTGTACACTACATTGAATCACAGGGGCTTGTGTACCACCTACAGATTTTGTTAATTTTTTTTCATTATTCAGAAATGGAACTTTACCCATTTGATAACCTTAAGCTAGCTTTCATCCTTTGTCTTCGGGTCTTAAATAAGGCTACTGACCCCTCATCTTCTTCTTTGAATATACAATAAACCATGATTATCATGGAATGTACTAAATGCAATTTGTCATCCAGTAACAAATATATATACAGGTTGGGCTCAAGTCAGGAAAAGTGGGTTATTCCCTGTTTTCAGAGAACACCCCAGTTTTCTGGTGTTAAAAAACCCCAGTTTACAGGGACTTCCTTTTTCTATTTCAATTTATGGCATGAAATCTACAAAAGTGCATATTTTAACTGTATCAGTAGTATTTGTAAATACTTTAAGTATTTCAGGAACAACAAAACATGAATAAGTGAAGCCTTGTTTTTTCTAGAAATATAAAACATACAAATCTTTTGTTTAGGAATCAGTTGATCAAGCTGCATGCTCCAGGTGTAACTGATCATAACTGAATTATGTTCACTTCTATTGAAAATTTCTATTCATTGAATTTAAATGCCTAAGTGATTAGCTTATCTTTTTGTCTTCTCAGAATTGATGATCAAGATATGAATTGGTGAACAAAAGAATTGTTTTGTTGTGAGTTGAGCATCAAATAAGACTTGAAATTAGCTTGATTTTTGAACTTATAAAAACACTTGCTATCATATAACATTGTTATCACATGTAGAAGGTGCGCTTTTGTAGATTTCATACCATAAATTGACAAGGAAAAAAGAAGTCCCTGTTTACTGGGTTTTTTTAACACCAGAAAACTTGGGTGTTCCCTGAAAACAGGGAATACCCCACTTATCCTGGCTTGAGCCCAACCTGATATATATGTTCATTTATATACATTCAGTGTTTTCCCTAGGCTATTCAAGCATTGCGGTACCGCTACACATAAATTTCGACTGCCATGCTTTCATCATTGCCGCAATGCATCCCGCTATGTGTGAAAATTATAACTGTGTAAAATATTTATTATCCATATTTTGAAAGTGAAGTGACAAGTGACAACACTCCACAGGTGTTTTAAACTCATCCGACTGATAATTGGATGCATCACGTCGCGCCTGCCGGGATTTTACAACCTTCTTGATATCGAGACTTTGGTTACATAATAGAAGTGGCCAGTTAGCTGATAAGTAAATAGTCAGATAAATCTCCAATGCACATCTTTCTGTGCTAAATAAAAGTTTAACCTTTTCCAGTATAAATTTCACCTTTAAAACGGGTGTTTGACATCGTTATTTTACTGTTCATCTTTAAAAAGTAGAAATTTAAAATTTGGTATAGTCTCTGGTATCATAAAATAAAACTAACGTAATTTCACCGAGAATGAACAAAACAATTTTTTTTAATGAAGTTTCTTAGTTATTTCATCGGCTATATTTACATCGATGAATTATTTTTTAATTGGTCACAACAATCAGTTATTTTTAGATTAGTCGCGGTTGATTGATTATATCAAAGAATACACATAACCGCCACCGGGCAGAGAAAAAGACGTATCTTATGAAATATTTAAAAGATTTCATAGAAAAACTTTCAAAAAAAACGTATTTAGTTACGGAAATATTGTTTTTAATAAACTTGTGTTGTTCTATTTGTATTTCAATGGGTCACAAGCTTAGGTGTAGCGGATTCATTTGCCGTTTTTTACACAAGTGGGGCTTAATTTCTTTCACTTCGGCAAGATTGGATTTTTACAATTATGAAAGGTTATAACTAAATCGGACAGGGATGTATGTAAAAAAATAGTTAATTGTCATGAAATAAAATGTTAGCTTAGCTTCCAAACAGGTTATTGCCAAATGTGTCATCTGTATGTTCGTAGGTCAGATATTCTTCATTGACGACTTCTGTAATTAACGCAAATAATTTTTTTTTATAATATTGTTTCCTGTAAAATCTCTGTGAAGCAATGATGACATTCAAAGTTTTATTTAACAAGTTGCTGTTGATGCTGAAATCATTCTATCAGCAAAATTCAAAGAACAAACATCAATCATTTAAACAACCATGTCCAATTCAAGCAACCATCAAAGAAAGGTCGCCTTACTGGCCCAACTTTTTTGACAAGTTGGTTAGAGAAGACTCAGAAAAGCATATCCAGAAATCAACGCCACTTTGCTTATTTGAATATTATACTAAAGAAATCAGATATGGGTCACGGAAATTATATTGAAATGATAGGGAATTTAGAAAAAATGTCTGTTTTAACTTTGATTTAAGTGATAGACAGGTTGCCGGGGCAGAAAATAAATATACACAACAATATACACCATTTAAACGAAATATAATGACTGGCGTTGCAAAAATCAAGGTTCTTGAGCTATTTTAAAAATCAAAGCGAGAGGCTTTTAACATTGCAGTATAAAATACAGACTAAAATGGCTGAAACGTCAAATTTGCAAACTTGGTTTTTAAAAATTGGCTTACAAGGTCATTAGAAATACAGGTTGCCGGGGTGAAACTTGAAACTTGAATGTCCAAAGAATAAGCAAGTCCAAACCTTGTATGTGTAGTCGTTGAACTCTAGGTTCCCACGTAAAGTTAAAATGCCTCTATTTCAAGAAGAATAAACTCACGAAAACACGAAAAATTCACTAAATTTGCGTTCATTGTTTTGATTTTGACCGCCTGACAACTTTACGGAAATATCAGAGTGATTATAAACAAGGACTCTGTGACGGGCAACTTATAATATCCGTGTTTTAAAGATTTTAATGATATCAAGCCAGTCCAGTTCAAACTATTATCACGTGGTACAATTCTCATTTACATATTATGAATATTAATTAGCAAAAGTACTACTAATTTCTGGCTATGGTCTACTCCTTCATCAAATTGTAGTCAGACAGATAAAAATCATCACCATGAGCAAAGCCCTGAAGTTGAGAAACAGACTATGTCAAAAAGTGCTGAATTGCTTAATGCATATACATGTATCAATTGAAGGACCAAAGAAGGAAGATTTTGATTTTGAAAAATGTGTGGTGACCTTTGGAAAGTTGAAACAGAGGAAGATATCAACAAAATAATGTGTACATGACATTAAATAGTAAATAACTATTGCAGACTGGATTTTTTTTATTATTGCTTATAAGGTCTTTAGTTAATTACTCTCATCTGTGATAAATACTTTAAAGTTCCATGAATTGTATGAATTGCTGTACCTATAATAAAACAATTAGATTGGTATATGGCTTTAAACATAAATATTATGTAGTGTAACTAAGGGGACGACCATTTGATATTCTGGGGGGGGCCAGGAGGATTTGTTTTGGATCGGTTATTTATTTTTGTAAACTAAGAGGACAGATTATCTATTTTCTGCACTATTGAAGCAAGATTTTTCATTTTCATCAAAGCAAGGGACTGATTATTTATTTTCACAACTATATTTATATTATTCGAAAACATACAATTTTTAAATTATTTGTTTATTATAAATAATTCATGTATAGTCAAGTCATTATGTACCATTTAATCAGAATTAATTTTTAACCTCTGCAGAAATGAATCTTCTATAATCCCCAATGCATATACATGTATTGCATACATACACAGTATTAAAGTTTGGTTGTAACTAAGGCTCTTTTAAAAGTATTGGCAAACATGTTTTTCGCCGAGCGGAGCGAGGGAAAATTTTTTTGAAGGGTTTTTGAACCGCTGAAGGCCCAAGAAGCTATAGAACAAATGATGCAAAATCATGCCTTCTGGGTGTTCCCCAGACCCTTTCTTAAACTGAAAATGCAAGTTCTGTTTTAATAATTTTATGACAATATTTTGGTCTCAAAGCAAAATCACGTTATAGATTCAGTGTAAGACTTAAGTTTCTAGGGACAACATCAAAAGACAAATATGCATGATAAAGCAAAAATTTAATTCACATAGTTAAGTCTGTGGCTGATGTGTTTTTTTAAACTCATGATCAAGTTAATAATAAAATTACTAAATTACAAAATGAATGCAACACTAACAGAATACAGAACATGCAGAAGGGCAATCAATGGACAAAACACAAATATATAAGAAACATTGATCCCGAAAAATCAGGGGCTACGTCTGAGGGAGAACAGAACTTGCTTCTTGCAAGGCACTCACGGTGAACACAATTTGATATGGAGACAAGCGTTTGGTTTTGAAATTTCCTACATGAGGCATTTGTCTCAATGTAGTTACGGCCCTGATTTAATAAAAGTGAGGTAAGTGTTCCTGAGACAATTAACCTCAAGTTAAATGAAACCAATTTTCTGACATTTCAAGTATATTTAAATAATATTTATACTTTTATTATTAAAAGATATGGGAAGTGTTTCCCGATTTTTTTTTATGGAAAAAAGATGAATTTATGAAGAATCTGGTGCCATCTCATACTTTCGATTAGACCTGCTGAGTTATTTATTTTCAATACATTGCAAGTCAGGTAATTTATTTTCAAACTACCACAGAACAAACCATTTATTTTTGTGATTATCAAGGCTGAGTTATTTATTTTCAAAATCCTCCTGGCCCCCCCCAGAATATCAAATGGTCATCCCCTAATTCTGAAAAAGAAGCGTTGTGCGCCGCGTTGCAAATTCACCATGGACCCACCATGCAGGAAAAATTTTCTAGGGAAGACACTGACATTGCGCTGCTGGATAAGTCAGCCTAAAACAAACTCAGCCTATCACAAACTTGGACTATAACAAACTCGGCCTACCATTATTTATATATAAAGAATTAAAGAACGAATTCGGCCTATGATTTTTAGATTGTGTTGTTTGAATTTAATACTTTTAAATGAGGATGTGTTTATAACTGGCATACAAACAAAGAGAAATTAGATTGGCAGTGAAT